GGGAGAGGCGGCTGGAAAATTTACAACCCTCCTAGGGCTTAAACCACCATGCTTCAGAGACGAAGCATCCTTAAGGGGGGGGTAATGTCATGATCTCCACTTTTTCCCTATCGCCATCCTAAACTCCCCGGGTTATTCGCCTAACACCCCGCCCCGGATTATTCAAATTTCACACCGGGTTATTCAACTACGATCGGAATAACCCGAATGCCGAGATCAATGCCGACCCCCGGATCAGGAATCCCATCAGGTGCCGCATTGATCCTTTTATTTCAACTTCCCTCTGATTGCTTTCTCAACGATCACCCCTTTCTGCCTGGTGCACGCTGTGATGTCGACCGTCACTGGCAACGCCTCTGATATATTTCATATATATTCTAATTACTTCACTACCAGTTACTAGGTATTTTACTATAAAAACCCTACCTACAGCTCTGTATTCTTTACACTATTCTAGTCTATTCTCCAGAGCTTAATCGGATTGCCTCAAACCTATCTCTTTCTGTATCGCCAGTCGCCTACGTCGCAGTAACCCTGCTAGTTAAGGCTCTGTGCTGACATAGTTAGACTTGCATGCGTGCCCAGAGGGACTGTTGAGTCGACCGTCGTCACGATGATTCTGGTTGCCGGGGAGTTTAAACTCGATTCCGAGGGATTGGAACGGGTTTCCCACGAGGTTATTAACCGGCAGCCTGCCCGCTTTTGTCCGAGCCGGGCCGGGAATCTGGATGGCGGCCTAGACTTTCCGCCCCCCTCTCGGTAGTACGTGTGTTCTATGTATTGACGGGTAACTCTTTAGCCTACAAAAGTTACGATGTCATACGTAGTAGACTGATTGTTCCAATTGTGGGACCACGTCAGTATAATATACCTCCTCCTCCTCCTAGAGAACTGAGGGGTTAGTACCCAACGGGTTTGGTTTCTCCCAATGGGTTCGAATTCACATTTTTTCTCCCTCACCTTTGCACCTTTCCCCCCTTAGTTTTTCGGGATTAAATTGCATAGTACTTCTCTGTAGCGGTGTAAATTTGCTAAGGAATCGAAGAAGAGGAAGATATGAAAGCTCCATCAAACCCAGCGTGTTTTTGGACAAGAGCAGTGTTCTGTTCTGTTCGCTCCACGTGAGGCCTGGAGGAAATTTGAGGGTAGCCTTACAGCTAATTTAACACACTTTGTCTCCTCAGACTTTCTTGCCAGGCGCAGGTTCAACTGAAATGGGGAGGGACGTGTTCAGTCACCAAATGTCACAAATCATATTCAATCCAATTCAATCCCCGCTGATTGAAAGGAGAGAGAGTTTTCGTGGCCTTACACTGGCTCTGAACCGCCATTCATAACTACCTTTACAAAGATCATGTTTTTATCGACAGAACCATTTTTAACGGACACTGCGGATTTATATAACGCCGGAATGCGACACCGAGGAAGTCAACGCGGGTACGAAAAGTAATTCCTCTTTTTCAACTTTGATTACACTGGCAATTATGTAGTAGATTACGGATAGTGGGCTTTGCCGTGGCAGCGGGCCCTACTGGTGTTTATTGTCTAGCAAAAGAGTCCACTCTGGGGCGAGATTTGTTAACGGCACATAACATGGCAGATAACACAAGTTCACACGGTTGCCACACGCATCAATCGCGACCTCGCGTCGCGTCGCGCGCACGGTAAGGTCTTTTCAAAGGGAAAGCTCTCTAAAGACGGATACTGGAGAGGTAAGTTTGTACCTCAGCTCAGCTTCCAAACATTTTACAGCTCTCCCTACACCAAAGGAAAAAAACTCACACCGACTTCCTCTTTGGCTTCAAATGCTGTAAATTGGAGGTCGCAATAGGGTGAAATGGAGCAGATAGCGAAGACCTTACATTCAGACATGTTCACAGGGATTCTAGTAGGCTCCTCTTCACCTGTATTCACTTCTCTAAATACTCTAATAATGCATCAGGTCAAAGAGCGCAGTATACTCGAAGTGTTGTCACTAAATCGATGGCAGCATCCTCAAACCTTTCTGACGTCACACAATACGGTTTGTTCAGTTCTTCAACATTCCGAGAGGCTTCCGGCGCCGTATTTCGATTTTTTTTGTGGAGGCCATCAGGCGCATCAAGCCCGGCCATCAAAGGATCAGAGCAAACGGTTGAGAAATTCGCAGATCTTGGGAAGCTCAAGAGCCTCTCTAAACCCTCCATAATCCTTTCTTTCTAGGTGATTTTTTCGATTTCTGCGCCCCCGAATACCCAGTCTACTGGGGGGAAAACCCTTGCCGGTAATGCCAAGTGTGCCGAATGCCGTCGATTTCCTTTGGAACAAGGAAGAAAAATGTTCGGAGGAGCTTCCTTGACCATACCAACTCGAGACCCTCGTGCGGGTTCCTTCAGCGAAGATTTAGGACGGCCCGGGTATTGGTGCGGTCAGCATAAATGACTCATAAATGATGGGACAGGTCACGTTTTTTGGCGACATTCTCGGACATCTAGAGCAAATGATTGGAAGTGGCTGGCAAGCGGCGGGCACAAACAGGGTTCTCGTCGTCGGTATGATGAAGCTGACTGCTGGTGTACAAGACACCGAGAGCATCCAAGAGCACTAAGTTAAATCACGGAGTCAGCAAAATGACAAGTGATCACGTTTGTGTGCAAGTCACGTTGCGATTTTGGCGACATTTTCGGACCTCTGAGCACAAACCGTCACTTCGTTCCTGTGAAACACTGTTTGTGAAAAAGAACTAACGTTCTATTTTTGAATTTTTAAGCTCAGGCAATTAAAATTCTAAGGCACCCAAAAGTTCCGGACAACTTATATGATTCTTCTTGTGCCCTCAAACGCTGGCCAGGCAATGGACGGTTGAAGAAAGATGCAAAATGGTGTGCTGGCGGTGCACCGGACTGGTTGCACAGCCACTGATCGACCCCTATGCTATCTGTTCATCTCGTTCATTCCTCGTGTTCAACATTGTCTGAGGCCACACAATTTTTCTGACCAGTACATTACCCTTATTTAAACACTGCTACATACTTGGACTATCTATTCTCCTCGTGAAAGAGCGATAGAACATCTAATTCATTAGAATTTAATTTAGAAAGCTATGAGCGAGTGTATGATGAATAGGTAGATGTGCACAGTTAGGCTTTGAGTTTCTTCATCTCTTAAAGGATGATTCGAACGCACCTTGAAGCCTCTTTTGCCTACGCACCACTATACTGTCCAAGTCGCATTTTTCTTTTCGCCAAAATTCGGCTCCGTCTCGCATAGCTTGTGCACCTGAAAGCCTCTTCCTGAGCTCAAATCTGGTCCGATTTGGCTGAAAGTATGTGTGTTCGACTCGCACTGAGTGCCTCCCGTCGACAGTACGCGTCGTCCCGGCTAAATTCCCGCACTATCCGACACCAATTTCTGCGCGCCAACAAAGCTTGCGCAGTGTTCTCGGGCTCTTGTAAACTCATTTCTGAACCATTTTTTCTCGTAACTTGAAACATCAAGCACTGGAACGAAGCTGGTTCGATTCCGGAACGAGGCATACTGTAGATGAAGTCGGAGCACTTTTTTTTCAACTTTGACTGCCAAGACACCATAGTGTCTCGAGCTCAAATATCTGCACCTTAGTTAGCATATGGAACGACTCAATAGCGGATGGTCCGCACCTCGCACAGAGATCATTGAAAGCAGAATGAAGCCGGGTCGATTCCGGGTCGAGTCATGGAGGCGACACCAGTTGCATTTTTTGCTTCGACTGCCAAGTGTCATTTTGATCTCAGATATCTGCGCCATGATTAAAGTATGGAACGACTCAATGGCGGATGGTCCGCACCTGCTCTCCGTAGTTGTCCCAAGTCTCACTGAAAGCAGAATGAAGCCGGTTCGATTCCGGGTCGAATCATGAAGGCGACACAACGTGGCATTTTTTGCTTCGACTGCCAACGCACCATGCCATTTTGATCTCAGATATCTGCGGCATGATTAAAGTATGGAACGACTCGATAGCGGATGGTCCGCACCTGCTCTCCGTAATTCTCCCAAGTCTCAATGAAAGCAGAATGAAGCCGGTTCAATTCCGGGTCGAGTCATACCGTTTCCCGATGTGTTGATCTTTTTTCATTGAGCACAGAAAGAAATTGGGCGGGGTATAATCGAGGATGGACCTATCCTGGTGTGCAAAGATTCGATTGGGTGTTCCCGCACAAGCAACTGGGGGAAGACGAGCTTTGAAATATGAATGAAGGCAGAGTTACATGGTGTTGGTTCGAGTGTTTGAACTTTTTGCGCCGGCCAATACCTGTTTAGTAAAGTCGAGCGCAATTTGGGGTATAGGAAGACTCGTGGCGAATGGTACGCACCTGCTCTCGGTTCAAGAACGTCAGATTCCATGCAGGACACCGGTTCGATTCCGGAACGAGGGGTGAACAATCCACTCAGGCTCGCCATACTTTTTTTTTTTCACACATTTTGCATTTGCCTTGCAGATGCACATGCAAAGGAAATCTATGTGCCAAGCCATCTTGAAGGACGAATCAACCGACCAACGACTCCAAAGCGGAGGGTTTGCGCCTGTGAAGATTTGCCTTTTTTAGATCTTGCGAACTGAACAATTCGATCCATAATTTTTAGATGGTTTATTCGAGGTGATGTCAGAGGCTGGAACCACTCGATTGCGGAGGGTCCGCAACTGCGCGCCTTGTGCGACGAGACAAAAGAGCTTGTGCACAGAACACCGGTTCAATTCCGGAACGAGTCATAGGCTGCCAGTGTTCAAGGACTTTTTTTTTGCTTCGACTGCCAAGGCGCCATAGTGTCTCGAGTTCGGATATCTGTGCCTTGGTTAAAGTGTACAACGACTCGATAGCGGATGGTCCGCACCTCCTCTCCGTAAGCTTTCCCAACATCATTGAAAGTATAATGTGATTCCGGAACGAGTCAGAGGTGATGTTCCATGATTTTTTTTTCACTTTGAATGGCAACGCCCCATTACAAGCTCACATATCTGCGTCGTAGTTAACCTATGGACCGACTCGATGGCGGATGGTCCGCACCTGCTCTTCATTTGGGTCTTCAAAAATCATTGAAAGCAGAATGAAGCCGGTTCGATTCCGGGTCGAGTCATATGAGAGTTGAATATGTCGGAGTACTTTTTTCCCCACTTTGAATGGTAGGACCCCATTGCGAACTCACATGTGCGTCGTAATTGGCATAGTGTGGAGCGACTCGATGGCGGACGCGCGGATGGTCCGCATCTGCTCTCCATGAGGGAAACTCAGTGAAACATCAAGCAGAACGAAGCTGGTTCGATTCCGGAACGAGTCATACTGTAGATGAAGTCGGAGCACTTTTTTCCCCAACTTTGACTGCCAAGACACCGTAGTATCTCGAGCTCAGCTGTCTGTGCCGTGGTTATAACTTTGATAGCGGATGGCCTGCTCTTCATTTCCGTCGTCAAAGGTCATTGAAAGCAGAGTGAAGCTGGTTCAATTCCGGGTTGAGTTCTATGCAATTGGAAGTTGTTGCTTTTCCTTCGTTTGAGCCCCAGAGACTTGTCATACTAGTAGTTTCCCGCGATGAGAGTTGAGAATCAGTGATCATGAGATCGAGAAGCCGACATCGGTCAAAGCAAACACGACCACGCAACACCAAACTTTGAAAACTTTTTTCCATCTCCCACAAAATGCTCGTCAACGCAATCCGGAGGCAAACGCGGATAGCGCTCGTCGCGGCCGTACACCGCACGGCCCCGACGCTGGTCGCTCGCGTCACCAACCCCAGCACCCTCCTCTCGCTGCGCGCACTGTCGACGACTCGACCACGGCTTTTTGATGCTCCGGCGCGCACACAGCCGATCTCAGAAAACCCACCGAGTCGGCAGCTCTTCCTGGGAAACCTTGCGTTTGAGGCATCCGAGGAAGATCTGCGCACCGCCCTCTTGGCGTTTGGTGAACTCGAGTCTCTGCGGATCAGTCAGTTTTTTTCCCGATTTTTTCAATCTTTTTCTGATTTTACCTGCTCCCAGTCGTCAACCCCGACGGTTCGAGCCGCGGCTTCGCGTACGCGACCTTCCAGGACCAGGCAGCCGCAGACGCATGCCTCACGACGGGGCTGTACCTTTTTAACCGCCCCGCGCGCGTCGACTACGCCGTGCGCCCCAACACCACCGCGCGCCCCAGCCCCGGCCCGGACGGCACCCCGTCCGCCGGCCGCAACCCCGTCGGACGCGTCCTCTTCGTGGGCAACATGCCCTTTGGCAGCGAGGAGGCGGACGTGCGCGAAAAGTTCGAGCCCTTCGGCCCGCTCAAGAGCGTGCGTCTCGCCACCCGCGCCGGGGGCGAGTTCCGCGGGTTCGCGCATGTGGAGTACATGCGCGTCGAGGATGCCAAGGCAGCGTTTGAGAGCTTTGCGGAGGAGCCGCTGTATATGCTCGACCGCAATATCCGGGTGGACTTTGCGCCCGAGCGCCCGACGGCGTCGAACCCCCCGATTAACAAGCTGTATTTCTACGACTTCCGCGGGAACGAGGAGACGCTGAGGACGGCGCTGGCAGAGTTTGAGGGGAGCATCGTCAAGGCGCATTTCCGTGAGTCCTCTTTCTCTTTAATTTCTTTTTCTTTTGGAAAAGAAAACACACACTCACACGACCCCAGTGCGCTCCACCGTCACCGGCGAACTCACCGGGTCCGGCTTCATCGAGTTCCAGTCCGTCGAGCGCGCAACACTCGCGCTGCAGAGCGTCGCCGGCACCATGACGCCCTTCGGGATCCTCAACCTCGAGTACGCGATCAACAAGCCGCAGGGGTCGCGCGTTGCTGGCCTCGATAGGCAGAGCCCCGGCTTCGGCGGTGCCCCTGGCGGTGGGTATGGCGGTCCTGGCGGCGGCTGGGGAGCGCCACCTAGTGGCCAGCCGCAGCTCGGGAGACCCTTTGGGCCGCCGCGGAACGGCGGGTATACAGGCGGGCAGGGCGGGGGGTACGGAGGCGGGCAGCAGGGCGGGGGGTACGGGCAGGGCGGGGGGTACGGGGGCGGGCAGCAGCAGGGCGGCTTTGGCGGTGGTCGGGGCGGATATTAGCTCCTCGTTCTCTCCTCTCCTCCCTCCCTTCACCTTGGGTACTCTCCACGACGACCTCCTCTCACCCTCTCTTTACGCTTTACCTCCCCCGCGCCTAATCTCTCCTCCCACCCGCCTACCTAACACAAACAAAATCATTGCGTCTAGCATATGCATCTCACATCGACCATCTTACTTATATCTCACTCATCTCTCTCTTACTACTTACTCACTACGACGTATGTAGCGTATCGTGCACAGGTACATAGGTACATAGACCCCGGATCCATTGGCGAGGATGAATGGAAACGAACCGCCCACTCCCCGAGTTCCCACTGCGTTTTTGAAATTGAGCCCAAATTTCCAGAGGGCGTCCGAATAAGGAAATTGCTGAAATGTGGATGGTTACGTACACGTGCCTTTGCGTTTTCTTTCACCCACTTGCCAGTCCAGTCTAGTCACAGGTGCAACAAGCTAGCGGACAAGCGAATTCCTGTCTCTGACCGGCCTTGCCGGCCAGTGGTTCAGCAACTTTCGGCCACGAGAGATCAAGAGTCAGAAAAGACGACGGCACGGACTTTGGACCTTGACTTGGAGCTGGACTTGGACGAAACGCTCAAGCTCTGGCCCCTGATATATCGCCAATGACTCGACTCAAGCCTAACCATGTCCCTAGCGGTGATTTTGCGCGATGTCAGTAAAGCTAGCTGCCTGCGCTCAACTGGTGCCACGACCCGCGCGACTAGCCACAGGCCTAGATCGCATCCTCGACGACTTCGTCCGAAAGTTCTATCCACCTCAGGCTTTGAGCAATCCAACAATTCGACCCTCCGATGCTGACAAGTCCACCTGGGCCAACACCGGAAAAAACAACCGTCTTCGTTCCACTTGCAAGACTCCAGCCGGAATCGAACCCGCTCCCCGATGCTGCTCCGCAACGTGGGTATTCACGTCGAGCCCATAGAGTCTGTCCTTGCCTTGAATATTCGTCCATAATACATATTATATCAGAGACGTTTTCATTCAATTGCCATTGGTGTGGCGTGCTTCAAAAAGATAGACTTCATCTCCCGTGCACGGCTCGTCCCGGAATCGAACCGAGTACCCCTGCTGGTTTAATATCGTTCCAGACTCTCGAACGGGCGCAGGTGCGGACCATCGGCCACGAGCCTGTTCTATTCTTCGATTGTTCTTCCATATACCAGGTACAAGGCATGCGGGAGCAGGAAGGCATCAACCGACTCGAAATCGTCGTCCTCGACCGTGTTTTCCGATGCCTATTCAGAGATATTTATCGATCTGGCCATTCGTAGATTTAGACTGGCTCTTCCCACTCCTTGGTTAATTCTCCTGCTAACAGCACGAAGAAGAAAAATGTTTCCATGAGGTCGAGCAAGACTCGAGCTGGAATCGAACCGGCATTTTCCTGCTCGTAAATGACGTTCTCGGACAGCCAACGAAAGCAGGTGCGGACCATCCGCCATCGAGTCTGTGTTTCCTCTAACTTGAATGTGTAATGCGATAGGTCAGCCCGGAAATACGCAATACTGTGTTTCTGTAAACTCTGTTGTAAGTTGAACAATCGCTGTTGATATTTCTACCTAGTAAATCGAACTATCAAGGTCGAGCGCACAGTGTAAACTGGCGCCGGAATCGAACCAGCTTTCTCTGCTGTGCATACGCGTCTGTATCAGGCAAGGTCCTTATTCTCAACAGAGTTCGTGCTATTGGGGATTCGTTCGTCCTTATACCAGGTAAATCTCCACTCACACTAGTGTGCGACTGAAAGCCAGGACAAAAAAGCGAATTCATGTTACCCCTCAGCGGCTTGTCCCGGAGTCGAACCGGGTATCCCTGCCCTAAAGTTGCTTACGGCTAGTGTTAACGGTGCAGGTACGGACCATCCGCTACGAGCCGGTTCTCTGCTCTCATTCGTCCTTCGATAGGATACACGAGAAGGGTGACATCGACCCTGCGTCTCTACTCATTGCAAATCGTCCTCGATTTTGGTCCTCGGTGCGTGTTCGCTTGATCATGAATACAGGCATTGATGACGCAGTAAGAACACCGTACAAAAAATAACTTGGAACGTACAGCCATTTACTTGAGTCGGTGGTCACTGGAAGCAATGGATGTGGACCGTGATAAGTCAGTGCAAAAAATGCACGATAGGGCTCAACGCAAAGTGTGTCGGATCAATCCGGAATGGGTTTGAAATATAATCTCACGGTTCGTTTTACCCATACAGAGTAACGAATGATCAAAAACATATTCAACGTATCTCGAACGAATTATCAGGCAAATCATAATGTACGGCCGAATTTTACATTTTGTCAAAATTGGATGAGATTATCGGCACGGCAACCTGGGAAACTGCTCGTGATTCGTTCGCTGAACGAAATTTTGTTCAAAAAGATCTATGATTACAGACATGTCAGAAATGACGAATCAAAATAACGCCTGCATACCTGCTGCACAATCGGGTCAGTAGAAACTGTTCTGGTCACGCGTCCCAATGTGGATGCGCATCCCTCGTCCCGCGAGCGCGCGAAGAGGAAGCACATTCACCAGGGGAAGACGCGCCACAGGCGCCTCCGGGCTGTAGTCGAATGTCGGCCAGATTAGACTGAACGACTCGAGTTTGGAGTGTGCTGCGTCCGTCGCATCGCATCTGGAACCGAGGGCACCCAGCAGCTCGTTGTCGACCTGGTCGGAACCACAATCCGAGAACACGAAGGTCTGGAGCTTCGGCAGAAAGTCGGGTGAAGTACGACGGTCCAAAGCACAGATGACATCTGTTTTGAAGGGCATACCCATCGAGTGAACGAGCTCCAGCGTCGTAAGCTGTGTGAGTGTGTGAAACCACTGGAGTGGAACTGTGGGCGACATGCCGACGTGGAAGGTGCGCAATGTAGCGGATACGCGCGACAAAAACGGGACAATGTCGTCATCCAGGTATTCCTGATATTTCCCGAAGCGAACTCCCAACTCGAGTCTCCGCAAACACGGAAGAGTGAGGAGCGGCAAAATGTCCTGATCGTCGTCGGTAGAGATGGCGAGGGAAGTAAGG